CCTTTGGCATCGCGAATGTTAGTTTCAGCGGAGTTTCCGAGGAAAGTACGATGCATCGTTCATCGGAACCGACCCACGACGATAACTTCTCGAGTCGAGCTATCTCATTACGAGAAACTTGGGTCGAAATTCGCGCGAGACACTACCCCCTCTGGCATCGCCGCCTCGCCTCGCCGTCAGGCTACGATGATACTGATTTAATAACGCGAATGGCAGAGAGAACACTATGAAGAACGTGACGACGAGAGCTGAAGAAATCCAAGGCATTTTGTTCGCCTTTCTTATCTTCATTTATCTAACAGCTACCTGGCGGCACAAAAACTACTCGCGACAAACAAACGTCGCGTTTCTATGAGTCTTTAATAAGTCTCACGTGGAACGCGATTTGACCGAGTCGCAGCAATATCTCGAGATCTGAAAGATTCCCATTTTTTTTCCTTTCTCGCGAAATCCAGCGAGCGACTCTCCGTGCTTGTGCCACCACTGCTACCCCGTAAGGAATATCGTGAACAACGGGAAGAAGGACATGCCGTTTCGACGGGCTGTCGCGTCGTTTCGCAGCTCGCAGCGCGGCGGCCGCGTCTTGGGGACAAAAAGAAATGACGTACGGAGGGTGCGCGCGACCGAATGAGGTGGTGGATTCTGCGGAGGTTCGAAAGAAAGGACCGAGAGGAGGAGCGGATGGGTAAAGGGGCAAGGAGGGGGTTGAGAGGGGGACAAGAAACGAACGACGGTGGTCCGTGGTTACCGCGAACTACACAATAGTTGGCCGTCTCACAATAGAGCAGCTCAGGGCTGCGAGCGAGCAGACGGAATGAGTTTTTCCTTCGTTTCGAGTCGCGGGGACTATTTTAGTTTCCATTCTTTCGTTTCGTGCCGCGATTCTTCTCTCTCTCTCTCTCTCTCTTTCTCTCTTTCTTCCCCCTTTCTCTTCTCTTCTCTTCGGCTCGCCTTTTATCTCACTCTGTGTTTCTCGCGCCGTTCCTTTCACACCATCGCGCGCATTCCTAGGGACGCTCCTTATTCGTCCCACGGCCCTTTCTTTCGCTCACGCGGCCCCGGTCCCGTCTCATTTTGGAGCGTCGCGTCATAAAGTTATTATTTTACGCGATGCGCGCGAGAAATTACGAACGGAAAGGTGAACCTGGCGGGGCCTGTTTCGTCAACGTAGCGAGAGAGAGAGAACGTGAACGGACTGATTCCCAGCGGAACGCCCGCGCGTTAATTTGTTAATTCCGGTCACGGACGCGGACCACCTTGGTGTCTTCGAGACACGACCAATTCAACCTTGCGCCGCGCGAGCGACGACTAAATCGAAGTTCCTAGCTAAAGAAAATAGAATAAAGGGAAAGAGCTTCATTTAGAAGAGGAATTTACCAATTTAGCAATTCTTGATTTAAATAGAAGTGTATATGAGACAACAGTGTAATAGATAAATTTAAATATTTTAAGTCAATTAAATTCTTAATTGTGTTAAATATTTTAAAACAAAAGTAGATGTAGAAATACGTAGATAATGTTAGCGAAAATAGATTTTAGAGAGCGAGAGAACCTAAGTACTCTTAAATATAGAAGAGATTTTTTATATACTCCAATTTTTATATGAATTGTAAATCATTTTATAAGCAATATTGGTAAATGTTTTATTCCTTAATAAACGATTTGTTAATCGAATTGATTTATAACATATTGAATTAAATATAGAGATAGGGAGAGAAAGAGATATTGCGTTATAAATTTTTCTTTTTATTCTTTTTAATTTCTTCTTTATTTGATATGGACTTTCAAGTGTAGATTGAAGAAATACTAGAACTATTGACAGATGTTGATCTAAGCAGATTCTTTAAGAAAATTGAAAACTTGAATTTTATATGCATATTAAGCTGCGCGTTTGATTCGGTCTTTCTTACCTTATCCTTTCATTTAGGTTCTCTTTCCTTTTCTTAATAAAACGGACGGGAGAGTTATTTAATTAGAGTTTAATCAGGATTAGATCAGAACCGGATATATTATTATGACAGACCGCCTCGAAGAGGCGGAACACGCACGACACGCAGAGCTTGCCGACGAAAGGCGCGTGAGGCCGAAATTAATTTGTTTTCTGATCATTTCGAGCCCGCGGACCACCTGTACGATACATAATTTCTCTATCCGTTGAACATTCTTCGTGTGAAACGTTTTCTCTCTAGGGCCAATAATTAAAGCGCCGACTTAAATTGTTTTACGAAATATTAAACACGCCATAGAAGAGGATACAAATGAATATTCAACATCTATAAATTCGTGTAACTATTCGTTTATTAAATACCTTTCCAATCTGCGCCTTTCTATCGTGCGGAGGAGAAATTATTTTCCATCGATAAAACGTTCCGCATATATGTTATTTTCTCATGAAGCAATTTTCAGACGAAACAAAGTTATCTTCTTTTTTTTTAACCCAGACGAAAAATAATCGTTGAATAATTTATAAAATATTATTAAAAGTCGCGATGACGCAAGAAATATAAAGCTGACAATTATTCTCAGAAACGATAATACTTTTGAATATATGATTACGAGAGTTGTGCAACCGCAGCGAACGTGAGATATATTGTTGCACCGAAGAGTCTATTAATATGTCTATTAATTTATACGGATTTATTTAAATGCTTTTTTTTTATCGTATTTGAATATTCACGCAATTGCATAACGATCGAGCGATGCTCAGACAACGGATGCTCAGGTCAGATCAGACAAAACGTTTCCAAGTTGCACGCTTCGACACACGCACGTAATTGTATTCCGCATTCGTCCCCGTATATCAAAAATCGTGAATATTCGCTTTGGCAGGTGGACATATCTGCTTAATCGCTAGGTTTCAAGATTTATGACGCGGCGAGCGGTTCGTTACGCCATTCGAAATCATTTTTCGATTGATTATCACCGGCTGCCCGTTCCTCCCTTCCTCCCTCTTTTTTCTCTCTTTTTTTTTTGTCGTTCCCGCGGAGCTGTCACGGAAAAAATATTTTCCCGCGGGCCGGAGCGCGCGCGGCTTCAGGTACGTACGTATCTGCGAATCTCGTTTTATGAAACAGCGAATTTTCGAGTTACAAATAAAATCGGCGCGGCACGGTAACGAATATCGCGCGCCATTTCACGTATCTATTAACTTTTCGATCGTGACGCGTCGAAATGGAAAAAAAAGGGGAAAGAGAAAAAAACACAGCGGCGGGGAGGAAACAAAAACAAGACAAACGAACAAAAAAAAGTAGGAAGGACGGACCGGGTCCATTGTTAACGCGTCCCAATTATTTCACGTGGATCCGCTCGTAAAATATTGAGCCTCGCGCGTCTGTCGGACGGAGATATTTCGCGCGCGCGCACGCCGCTGTTTTCCCTCGCCCTTTCGCGTGACACGCGGAAAGAGTCATAATCTTGGCCGCGGCGCCATCGGCAGAGAGCGATGTGAACAAAACGCATTTTGAGGCATTCTGAATCCCAGCCGAGACTTCAATCTAAGAATACCGTCGGCGTCGTCCGGAGAGGTCGCGCGCAACGTCATTATAGCGAAGACGTAATTTCAAAGAGCGTTTCCGGCGCGCGATACGGACCGAGACCGGTTTCTCTTAGATGATTTTTATTTGATGTCAAGCTGCATGGAAAAACTTTGATGACATGCCAGTCGAGTCTGAGTCGCGATCTGCTTTGGTGCGGCGCCGCCGCAATAACGTCCGTCGCTTGTACGCTCGACAAATTGTACTGGGTTTCGTGCCGTTGGTTTTGGTTTTAATGAGAGGGATGCTCAGCTGGATGATACATGTCGCTGAAGATAGGCCAGTTTCAAAAATAGAAAAATATACAACATATCATTTTTGATATTGCAAGTTATGAACATCAGTTGCTCTATTTGTTTTGCAAAGCTTGTCAATTATCATGTAAGCGAAATGTACACGATCCCGAATTGAAGCAGCGTATGCGTTCTCCACGAAATTCCATGCGCAAAGCAGCGTGTGTGTTAATGTAATTTCGTATAATATAACATCATTATTTCCTTTGTTTTCGAATTTACGCGGCGCATGCTTACAATGGAATTTTAATCCCCGAAAAATGTAGATATATATATTTCGTTACATCGAGCAGACGAGAGAATTTCACTTTTCGCATGAGTTCTCATTGACGAGCAAGAGACGACCGCAAGATCGGCGAGACGTGAAAAATATACGCGACCGCGAGGAAAAAAAAAACTGTATATCCCGTTCATTAACGCTCGACAATGCGTGGACGGAATTATTTTTGGTTTATCGCGCGTCGCTTAATGAATTTTCCCAGTCACGCGAGAAGCGCTTTGCCGCACGGATTGCCAGTAAATTCGCAACAACTGCTTGACCATTGTCACGATGGGCGCTCTCCAATGTGATGAACACGGAAGGGCTCTCATGACGCGATTCGTCACATTAAATGAGAGGAATTTCAATCAAAGTTAAAGGCGGAACAAATGATTGTTGTTGATGAAAACGTGCTCTTGTTACGCATTAAACAATTGCGACACGTGTTGCGAGATATATTAGCCTCTCGATAACTCGATAGTTTCTCCAACATGCAATAATATACTCAAGACTCAGTTTCAAGTTATCTGAATCACGTGAGAAACGCATAAAAAATGATGAATTTTTTTTCATTTCGTTATGTATTATTATGCGAGAGGAATTGCTGGAATTGCGACTTTTTAAGTTGCTACTATGCGTTCTTGTACTTTTTACTTAAACGAGAATCCAATTATCTATTATCCCATTGTTCTTTACACGTCTCGCAACGTAAATTTATTTTCTTAATTTTCCCGAGCGCGGTGTCGCGATACGAATAAAACGTCACGGTGAATATTACGAACGAGTGACAATAAGCAGAGACACTGTTCGCGAACAATCCGCACTTTCGTACAATTCGACATTTATTATAGCGATACAGACGATGGTGCGAGAAACTTTCTCTCGACATTCGAATTGTTTAGAGCGCGCCGTGAAGACATCTCCTCCCTGAGAAGATTTCGCCAAACTCTCGGTTCCAGAGTGTTCAGACGTCTTCGCGCTGCGTGTTAACTTTTTGTTTGCTCGGCGTGCTTGGCTGCACGTTTAAACGTAGGCAGAGCTTCCTTAATGCCTTCTCCATTTCTTCGGGGGTGACGCAGCTTTTACCAGCCACCGTGGCTAAGTTCTTGGCGTCTTGCAGACACTCCTCCAATATGCTCTCGACGACGGCCGAGAGGGCGGCCTGTGCTTTACCGGATATGGCATACGGTTGACCTGTTATCCAAAATTAGCACGATTGATATGAATTCCTTGATAAGGCGTAATACGATCAAATCACTGTGGAGATATCGGCAAGGAAAGCTTATTAATATCTACCACACATCGAATTACGCTTCATTATAGATATCGTATTCTCGTAAACCATAAAATCGTTATGATATAATTTCCTTTTGTACGAACGCTCTTTCGTTTTCACGATTTGTCAGAGGTGAAGGATTCATCAATACATTCTATAATTTCGTCGATAGAATATGAAGTGTGTTCTATCCAATTTTAGTTGGCGCGTGCAGATAACGGTTCGAGTTTCGAAAATCCGTGGTATCAATTAAGATTGATGAGAAAATTGGTTAAAAATTAACATATTAAATTTAGAACAGATTTAGACTAATATGCGACAACGTATTCTACCTTTTTTAAGACTCCTGTTCACTCATCACTACTGTCCCAGATTGTGATGTCAGAAGCGAGAAAATATACAGTAAAAATTCTTGCTAAATGTATTAAAATGCAAATGCGTTAAAATATACCAAAAACTGTCTTTTTGTTTCGTTAATTTTTAATAAATTAATAAATGACCATGGCACGTATCTAGAAATAAATTATGCATAACCGAAAGAAAAATAAGCTGTGTTCACAGCTAGTGACAACTGTCAAATTAATACTACATGGAAATAAATGATTTAATTTCTCCTCGAAACAAAAAGATAGTTTTCGGTATATTTTACAAATCGGGTCTATTGATTGTAAGTGTTGCTTTATTGAAACATTTTTTCATTGTAATAAATTTAGCAAAAATTTTTATCGTATGTTTTCTCGCTTCTGACGTCAATCTGAGATAGTAGCAGTGAGTGAACAGGAGTCTTAAAACCGCTCGCGTTTCTAACGACGAAGACATTTTAATGGAACGTGAATCTGCGCTAGCGAGTCTTCCGTTGATTGCGAGAGGGTATCGCAATACGATACGATTGATCGACAACGGTTTCGGCTTCGCACTCGGCGCGCATTGGCATACATTTTTTATTTCCACGTGGATGTACTCCACCGCCCGCGCGGCGTATTCGACGGATGGAAAATTGCGAGATGGGCGAAGAGAAAAGCGGAAACCGGTCGCGCGCGAGGGTGTGCGCTCACCCCTCGGGGGGGGAGGGGGAGGAGGGGGAAGGAGGGAGGGGAAAAGCGAGCAACCTCGCGGGAAAATGGTCCTTTCAGCGCTCGATGAAATATGGATCGTTTGTTACAACTTGCGTGTAGCATACGCCGCGGCGCCTCCGAAGACGTTTTGGGCGAACACGAGAAGTCCCTTTTTGGTAAGGAGATACGATCGGGGCTTAATCGTCGACGGATAAATCGATATCGGGGACGCGCCCCGAGACGCTATATATCTTTGCTGTGCTCGAATTGACGATTAGAAACGAGAACGGGTAAAAATTCGCAAACCGCTCGCTGGCTCGCTCTCGCAAAACCGAAAACCGCAACGTTTGATGCAACCGCGGTCGTTCCGCAAAGAGATAAGGACGACCGATCAAAATTTTAGTGAAAACGGCGGACACACGTAGCATGCAGAAAAATAAACGTTCGAGCGCGATAAAAACTTGATTACTTGACGTTGGAATATTGACGATATGTCACAGTTAAAAATATAGCGATTATCAGTCGTAAGCAAGCATTTCTCCTCATACTTTTGATATTAATTATCGTAACGTAATTAAAACACTATTTGCAAATTGGCAAGGTTGACGAGGTGGTAATCGATCGCCGGAGACAATCACGCGTTCGACGTTTTTTTTTTTCGCTTTCTCTGCTCATTAATCGCGATCCGTACAACACAAACATGTCCCGAATGTGTATCTAACGTCTCCGGGTTATCCGAAGAATTCATCATTCTAACAAAGGGAGATAAGGAGTTTTTGGACGCCTATAAATTCTAGCTACGTGCCGGGCAACGTGCTGCAATCTTGAACGATAAAAGCGGTCCCTGCGATTACACGCGCCTCAACCGATGGCGCGGATTGCATTTCTCTCGGCGAAATGCACGGCGAACGATTAAACGCGTCAGCGGATTCTTACTTTCAGCCGCGCCGTTAGTTTGCCGCCGCCGCCGCCGCCGTTCTTAATTCCGTCGCTATATCCATAGCGCTGTACCCTGATACATATAGGTGTGGTCGCGTTTTATCGGCGTGGGTGTATCTCATTTCGTAAAGTGCGCGACCACTTCACTTCTCACCCCCCTGTCCCCTTCTCGTTCGTTGCTCATTCATCCCCCTCCGGCTCCTACTACCGTGATTTCCGCCTGTCTCACCCTCGCTCTGATCTCACCCGTCTCCGCTCGATCCTCCCTCACCCTCCCGCACCCTCCCTCGAAATAAATATGTCGCAATAATACGTCGCTTCTGACGTGTTCTGCGACTCCGATGACAACGTACCGGAAACGATGCGGGCTCGATGGAGCGTGCCGGCGCGCGAGCTCATCGCTCGCGCAATTTACGAAACGACCAAACACTCCCGGGCGACTCGCGCGATCGAAACGCGCCTCGAGATACCATTCTTGTATGTACCGAGATTATATTGCGCGTTCACCTCGCAAAGCATCGCAGCGGGATACGAGGGAGAAAGAGAGAGAGGGGGAGAGAGGGAGAGAGAAGCAGACGGGATGGGGAGTGTGCGTTCTTTGAAGCCGAGACGCCCCGTATATTGTATGATATGAGACGCGGGCGGGAAAGATTGTAATGGATTTTCGTAGCTTGGAAAGTGAATCGCGTCCGAGATGGAATAAACGCGAGAGCAAGGCTCTCCGCGTCGCGTCGCAACGCATTTAATAACGCGCGTTAAATTATCTTCTGTCAGGGAATAATTATCGCGCGGCCGACGACGGGAAAATTGAAGTGGAGCGCTATTTTCTTCCCTCCTAAGAAACGTTCCGCTTCTCAAAATTTATAACAGTAATATTAATTGAGTACTAATAATTAATGATAATAATTAACTTGTAGGTTAATTTCGTTGCAAATATTTTACGCACCTTGACCCTCTCTGATATTGGGATATAGCTTCCTAATTCGACGCCACTTGCCGGGTCGATTTTTACGACGCATGATGTGACATCCAAAGCTGTTCTTTGGTTATTAATTTAAAGCATAATCGATAAAGCAATTTGGAAGGTAGGTCCTAATTGAAATGTCAGATCAACGTTATCTGCGAAACAAATGTTTGACGTCGTTCAGCTTCTCTTACACCACACTTCAAGTCTCATGTACGGAATTATATATTTAATTTATGCGTAATTTGCATGGATTTTATAAATACGATTATTTTACTTTATTTTATCAAGTCGCTATCTATTGTAATTTTTAATAGCGTCTTGCAAAAATGCATTTCTATTATTGGGCATTTTCGCATTTCAAAATTGCAATCGCATAAAAGTTTCTGTTTGGTGACGTGCCGTGGCATCTTGGTCGGAGCTGAGACGATACAATTTTTCTCCGGATGTGTCTGTGTACATACATACGAGAAAGATAAAAATGTTGAACCTCGGAAACTGTACAAACAAATTGCTTAACACAGAAAATATGCGATTACGCAATATCGCATTATTATGTTTAATTTAATTTAATTCAATATAACGTTTTGATTCTTTATTTTGACGCTTTTTAATAAAGACAGGATCGTTATAAATAAAAGCGTTCAATTTCTAAAAGACATTTATATCTTTTAAGCAGAGGGCAAATTATGCAAAAGCAAAGATCGCCTTTATTAAACAACGACGAACTGGTTGGTCGGCGATCGTAAATTAAGAAGTGTAATATGGTAAAAAGTAAAACGAGTCGGAATTTAATATCGCAACAGATTGGTCGATCGTGATCAGCGGTTTATTCGCGGAAAATCCGCACCCGGAGGTGCAAGGTGGAATTTCGCGGCTGGCGCATATTTACACCCCTTACGCGAGATATGCGGAGGGAACATCTGCGAGATGTGGCGCGCGCCGGCATTACGAAGGATTGCGGTTGCATACTGCAGTTGATGCGCGGCGATAGACAGGCGGCTAAGCTGATGGTACCAATCTGTCGCGCCCTAGTTCAGCCCCTAATTATTATGCATTGCCATGCAAATAGGTGGCATTTAATCGACTTCCCATACGAGGTGGTACATACACGCCTCGTGCGAGCGGGGTTCTTTGACCACGGCCACGGAAAAACAACAGAAACGAAGAGGAAAATGAAACGAGATCTATCTCCGGTTGGACGGCGACGCTTGCAGAACCGTTGTTGACGGCATTGCCGGCGATGAGAGAACACCTCTTTAATTGTATTAGTTAGATTGCGCGAAGTAGGCCGTGGAAAACGGGAAATTAAAGGAATATCTTAGGAAACGGGTTATGAGGAAACGGGCTCTCTCTTTCTCTCGGTCGCCCTGCCTCTGTCTTCCGGCACTTCTACTCTTCGTAAATCTTTTTGATCGGGAAATTCGACGGCGCGCGAGATGAAATTTATGAACTGGAGTGCCAGGACTTTTCTTTTCCTCGCAAAAGGAGGAAAGCAGATCCGCGAGACACTTAACTCGGTAACATCAGGAGGATCTATCGAAAGAGAGGGAGAGAGAGAGAGAGAGAGAAAGAGAGAAGCCAATTACTTTACTCGGGGATGAGGCGAAAGAGTAAAATTTGTAACGGAAGTTCGGCAGTAGTACGGCCAAAGGCAATTCTGCGTTGACGTATCGCGGCGTCGAGTTTCGAAATGAAATATCCGGTTTCCGTACATTCGATCTTTCGTCGGACGTATATTTCAACTTTGTCTAACGACTGCGTTATTAGGTCGACGCTTCTTCGCTCATATCCTGGAGGCGATAAAGAGGGATACGCGATCAGTGAAATGTTAAACCTTTCAGCGTGGCGTCGGCTGCTATTTATACCATTATTGTTGAGAAGGGATACCGAAGAACTAATGAAACTTCGATGTATATTACACGGAATAGGAAGAGTATCACATTTCCTTCGACAGCGTGCCGTTTGATCTATGCTGTGAGCGACAAAGAAATTCAATACGATCATGATTAAATTAAATAAAGTTTACCCAAAACTTCTCTCGTATAAAAATCTCGTTACGTGTACATTACACGTATATGCATATGCACGTATATGCATACGTAGAAAAAGTTATAACGCCAATTTCGGAATATCCGTTTTCCCGATTCAGTTCCACAGTCCCGGTCTAAATTTACAAACTAATATTATATAACATTAAAAAATTAAACTTGTAATTTGAAACAAATTCACATTAAATCCGCCGATATTATTCTCTTGCGCTCTTTTTCTCCCTCTGTCGTTCTCTCTCTGCCTGAAATTCGCCAGGTACATTACGCGTCACGTTACGCCGCACTTTTACGATAAGCACGATTACGCTTTATGGCGGGTCGCAAAATCTATATTCCATACGCGGGCTTTACAAGCTTACGCCATTTTCTCGTAAAAATGGACAAGAAACGAGACTGGCGTTGCCGTCATCGTGAAACTTCTCCCTTTTCGTCCGCGTAATTTCGACGCCGTCGACACTTCGGGAAACGTCGCGCGTCCGCATTAATAGCTTCCGCGTCGCGGTCTGCGGACCGCGAGAGAAAAACGAGTCGGTTTCGTCGTTTCGACGCGAAAAAAAAAGGAAAGAGAGAAGTCGATTTGACGGACGTAATTAGCCGCTTGCGTCGTCCGGTCGGGAGCGCGTAACTGGCGCGTCGAAAATTTTCCCCGAGAAAATTACTGCGATCGCGGCGGCTGCTCCCGGCGGGTACCATGCCGTAAAATTTCACGGTATCGTACCGCGAACAATATCCCGATATTCCGGGCTTTCGAAGCCCGGCGTCGCGGATACGACGCCCTGAGGGCTTTTTCTCGTGGTTACTTTTGTTCCACGAACTAGGTTCCCCGCCGCGCCGATCTCTCTCGTCGTCGTCGTCGTCGTCGTCGTCGTCGTCTCTGTTACGCGCTTTCCGATAGTCGAAACGTCAACGCGCGCATGCATGTTAATGCATGCGATGCGCGCATAACACGAACGTAACGCGAGGCGAACGACGCAATCAATATATAACGAGGCGAACGCAACACGGAAAATAGACGTGTAAATTATGCGCGCCTGAAAATTATATATTCGCCGTTCTGTTAATATGAGAGGAAGGTATAATTTCTCGCATGCATGTGTATCGGCGACATAATAGATATCGTTATGTCGGACGCATAGATTGCATAATAGACTGCATTTTTTTGTCTTTCGAGAAAATTCGAACATTGAACGACCGGAAAAATGATTAACGAGAAAGGAGGGGACGAGGAAATGTAAAGATTGAAAATAATCGAGCGGTACTTTGAACGATAGTATCAGAAATCTTAGCGAAAAATATGAAATTTTTCACGGTATATCGTTTCGCGGACGGTATTCCCAATATTCTCCATTCCGCAGTATGGCTGATACAATACCGCAGGGGCTTCCATTACTGTTATTCTCGACCTACAGTCGTTTGAGTTCACCACCGTGAATAAATACAGTCTTTTCAGCCAGGAATTTTGAGCCTTTACACTCTTAATACAACGCCTTACAGAAACCAGCGAAACATAACGTTTTTTGTGTTATCACTTCATTTTATGCGAATTTATCTTACGTAAGAAAATGTCACTTTATATAGATCATGACACTTTTCACAGATGTTTTGTGAACGTTTTTTAGGAACGCTTGATTTTTTTTCATAAATGGTCACCTGGGGTGATTTTTGCATCCCAATTAAAAGTGATGGTTATTAATTACATATTGTATATTTTTCGTTGTTCTATAAACAATTAGTATTTGAGGACAATATGTATATTTACTTAACATTTTCTGAAAAAAGTAAGGAGGAACAAAGAAATATTTAAAAAAACAAAAGGAGCACATTAAAATTACTATGAGCTTTATTTTTCGATACTGGGGTATAAAAATTACTCGAGGAGCCCGTTTCTGGGTTAATCAATTACGTGTTTATTTTTCAATGTTTATTTTTAAATGTTTATTTTTGACGAAATCGCAACGTGTGTTACAGGATTATCAATTTGCGATGAAGCAACGGTGGCGAGACACTAGCAGGTAAAGGCCGTCGTCGTACGCCTGGGACGAGATTTCTCAAGGTAAACACTCAAATTGTCGACAACAGGAACCAAGTAATATTCCTGACAGCACGATCTAAAATGTTAATTTGCCGAATAGTCGCGCGAAACGGACGAAGAATCTAATTCACGGTATAGCCGAGTGCAAATTAACGACGCCGTTCAGCGTTCTATTCGAGAATAGGATTAACGAAATACTTAATGCAATCGTGCTCAATCTTCATTTAGTCGCGCATTCACGAAAACGAAATTAAGTCTTATGCAAGAATAACGTCTATCATTGTCAGAGGGAATAATTAATTTCTCCGCTTTGACGCTTGAAATCACCGCTGTTCTCCAGATAACAAGAGGGTCTCGACGGCGGGAATTTCATGAATCTGTGTCTAAATAGAATTTCTCATTCGTACTTTCTCTCATGAAGGAACGGGTTTACCAATGTATGTAAAACGCCTCAACTTGTAATTTGATAAGCTCGGATATTAATCTCTTGAGCGCTTTAGCTTTAACTGGTTGAACGGCGTCTGAGAAATCAATGAACGACTGGTCTTCTCAAAATTTGGGCAAAAGTAACAGAGGAAGAAATTTTTTATTTATTTTACGTATATATAACGTCTCTATTCATTTTTAACATTTTAATTATTTTATGAAGAAAACGACGCTCTCCAAGAATATTACAATTACAAAAAAGTACATGTGTCAAAATGTTAATTTTTTTATGACAAAATCTGCACTGAAGTTCGTTAAATAGAGAGTAAAACTATTTTTGAGCTGTATTTGAAATTTGAATGCCGCTTAATGGGCCGCTGGTAAATAATCAATTATTAGTTGTGGGAAAACGGCACTCTGGGATCGTTCGCCGTCGCCGCGCGCGAATCTCAAATTCTTCGCCGCCGACATTTCGGCGTCGTGACGATGCAGGGATTAGTCTCGAGGGGCCGACGTGGCGCAAGCGCTACGTGTATAAGAGTCGTCAAATTATTCTGGACGTGCTTGTCGACGACGTGCATCCACCTGACGGCGGGGAACTCTCTTTGGGATATATCGTGGTTTGTTTACCCGAAACTACTGTCCCAGGCCGCGCTGCCAGGAGATCCGTCTCTGTCACTTCGTATACAAAGGACTTGGGGGACGGCGGTGTGTTGGCGAACGACGACGGGATAAGGGGACGTCCGGCGACGGGGCGGACGGAAGAGTGTCATATAACGATAGCTTATTTCGCACGGCGTACCTCGGACGTCGATGACCAGGGTGACCGATAGATAGACGAAGAACTGGGAACGGGGCGGAAGAAGGGGCGGAGGGGAACAGGGGGCAGGGGGAGGGTGAAAGACCGAACCCCCGAGTTCACATCGAGCGATCGAATCGCCTACTTCCGCCGACTCGCCGGATCGCTGGCAGTTTATTTCCGCCCCGACGTGGAATCGAGAGCCGATGGGCTCGAGGGGCGCGTTGTCCTAACGATGTGATTTATCGTCGTCTACGAGCCCTGACAGGTCCCCGTCATCGTCGGTACACAGACAGCAGCGGGACGCCCTGCACGTCGATTTCTAGCTTATCGCGCAACCGGCGGCGATAAGCGGCTTACTGGAAGTCTGTCGAAGAGCAAACCGTGGCGCGGCGCGGCGTTGCTGAAATAGCGCAAACAACGGAAGTGGCACGGCTTAAGGACGTGGTTGCAGGCGGCTGCGTCGCGTCGCCTCGGCGATCAGATACACGACGATCTATATACGCATGGTATAAAGTCGGAGATCGAGCGCGCTCCACGAACTCTCACCCACTCTCGGAATTTCCGCTATATCCTCCCGTAATGTAAATCGTAAACTTCTGAAGAAAGATTGCCTTAGCGCGCACATCCGGCGATATTATCCGACAATGTGCGATATCTTTCGCCCCCGAGTCAATTTACCTATAATTGATCTGGGTTAATATTCTATACAGCTCTCGGCCCCATTCGTATCACGCGCGAATATTGCCGTATGACGTTGTTAGTGAGTGCCAATTTAGCGATCGGTCGGCGAACCAATTCACCAACCTGTCAAACTGTCAGCGTGGCGGGCACGCGAACGTTATACGCGAGAGTGTGTCCGACGAATTCGTATACCGAGCAGCGCTCGAAGCGTCGAGCGGCGACGGACAATTTTTAGTCGCGTCGAAGCGTCTCGTTAACCGAAAATAAGTTCGAGTCGTGGAAAATGAAATGTCAGACTTGTCCGGAAGTAATTAATCCCTCTTTAATACTTACTCCAACTTCGGCGTACCGCGCGAAGAGCTTTAATAGCTAATGCTAATCTGCCCGCTAATGACGACCGCGGTGCATCGCTTGGGAAAACGTGTGTAAATAACAACAGCGAGGATGTGCATATTAAACAACAAGATTTATTTATCTATATATACAAACGTTTATATTTGACCATTTAATTAACCACGAAGCACGATAAAACATCCGTGTAGACAAAACATTTATACGCTCCTTCAGACATTCGCGAGTAGTTTTAAAGGCTTCCGACGAGAGATAGAGAGGTGACGGGAAGTCTGTTTTTCTTTCTTTTATTTTCAACGGCGGAAAATTATTGTCTCTGTACACGCGCATGATCGCGCCCTGACGTTCCAAGTATCACGTTTCCCTTAGAAACGAAGCTAACGAGGCTACCTCTTACAGGCTAGGTGAAAAACAAGAATAGGAATGTGTCGAATCGACGTGCCGGTCAGGTTGGGGGCGGGGGGGTGAATCCTTAACGGTATTTATTGTCTATTTACAAGCGTCGTTTAATCGCGTACGACGGTTTGGCGAGCATCGGAGGGTACTGACCCGGATAATCGGGCGCAAAGACGCTATACCTCCATCTATATACAACTCTCCTGTACACGCAGACTCCTCGTGTAGATGTCGTGGGTGCGATGCACCGGCAGCGTGCTGGGCCGCATCGGGCTCAGGCACCTCTCGGTCCTCTCCGCGTAACCGTTCGGATAGATCCAGGAGTCCTTGGCGTGAAGCACCGACGAGGGCGACGGATAATCGAGGTCCTCGAGGCACCTGAAGTCCTTGGCGCGCTCGGACGACTTGCCGGACGCGTAGCCCGGCTCGAAGATGTCCGGCCGCCTCTCCGCGGTCTTGCTCGGTATCACGTCCGGATCGTCGTCCGGCACGTCCGCGTTTATCTGCTCCTTCAAGTTATCCCGGTGTGCCCCGTTCGTCGCTGGCGGCGCCGCCGGCCGGTCCTCCTTGCCCTCATACTGCACCGGCTCCACCGCCTGCGTCTTCATCGTCTGATGTATCGTCGGATGGTTTCGCCGGTACAGGGTCAGCGTTATCCCGACGATCAGAATGCAAATAGCGGTTACCCCGCCGGCGAAGCACGCCACCAGGAGGCTGTAATCGGTCGTCTCGTCCGAGATACCGCGACCTGCGAAACAAGCGTAAAGAAAAAAATCGTGACTTGTGGGAGGGTCCGATGTACCTTTCTAGAAATAATGAGCGCTTCGATCTCTTGGAATATATATCGCTGGATTGTATGCTGATAGCGTGACCTGTTTTCCGAATGATAATCAAGTAGGAGATAAATTCTCGAGGCTAGATTCCAAGCAAGATTTAAACGTAAGAGAATCGGCTTAATTCGAAAGAAACTAGATCTCTGCCTCTCGATAAAATATTCGATATCTGTACGGGGAAAGAGAATTTTGCTGCTGTAGCAAAACCGTCGCTGCTGCCGCTGCTGCTGCTGCACATTCGACGTGAGCTTGACCAATTTTACTAACCAATTATTCGATATTGCAGCAAAATCTGTGTTTCGTTGATAAAATAAAAAGGATCTTATTGCGTGCGTGTGCGAGTAAATTTGTTCGCGGAAAGCCAAAACAGAATGGTCTGTTTCAAACGAATGTCATTTCGCTATTAATATTTAATAGTTTTACGTTCTCCGCGCGCTCGACATAATTAACGAACGTGAACATTAACAGCGCGACGATGCAAGGAGCATTTTATCGATCCCGTCGCCGTTTACGTATGTTAAAGTATGCACGGCTTTATTGGTTTATCCGATGATGACGATACTTGGCGAGATGAGCACGGCGCGCGGATTATCGATCCCGTACGAATGTCAAGTTAGTTTTGGACCATCGACAATGCGCGCACATCACAATTAAGCGGCAATCAGCCACATCGGATTAGTGCGTAACGATGGGAACGCGCTTGGGCGTTTTCTTTTTGGATTCCGGCAAATCGATTTCCATTAAACGGCAAATTTCGTATCGGCAATTCGCGTCTCTCTCTCTCTCTCTTTCTCTCTCTCGCAAGTAACGTTTTATCTGCCCGCGCGCGGTGCATTACAGCTTTTTAACATTACATGAGACGAAAATCCATACGAGGGGGAATCGTCATTCAAATTTCATGGGATAAAACCGGTAATAATTCCTACGAGGTCTATTCTTAATCCCTCGAATGCGGGGAAATAAATCGAGTAACTTGTGAAATTTGGGAAGAATATTTTACATTAATTATTATGTTTTCGTTCTATTTATAATATAACGTCGAATTCCGGATTTACGAGGGTCGGTCAAATATATATAAACCAAACTTTTCTAAAAAAAAAAAATAAACTCCTTATTCAGTTAAAGTATTTCTAATGCACATACAAGTTATTTTTCTACGTAGTTTCCCTGAACATCTAAGCACTTGCGCCACCAGATTGGCAGCTTTTTCATTCCCGTGTCATAAAAAGAAGTGGGTCGTGTCCGAAGCCACTTGCAACGAACGCTTCCACCTGTTCGTTATTTTTGAATCATTGTCCTCCCAGCGCCACGATAAACATTTGATGTGTCTTCGACGTCTCATTACTGAACTGTGCGCGTAGTCTCTCCAAGATCTCGGTCGGAAATCGGTTTAACATTTTCTTTGGTCAAAAATTTGATAATAAAGCGTTGTGCAACGGCACTCGGTACTGCTTACTCGCTCATCGTGTTCACTAACTTGCTCAAATGGTCTTGGCCTTGCGTGATCGCTTGTTCAGCGGTGGAAAAGTTCGGTTTATACTTGACTGACCCTCTCGTATTAAAGCGTCAGCTTGGGATATCGCGATATCTAATTCCGCTGGCTGCATCACACTCGTCGCAGGATTAACGGCTGGTCGTTGCGCGCAAAACGTGCGATTTCCTAACATATATATCCGTATATATTCTCGACCGGCAAAGAACATTCATCCTCATCAGGATGGACATTCGAACTGATGGCGACATCAACAGCCAGCGTCCGGTAGCGTCGTTCGTCCCAACGTGTCCGGTAAACGAGATTCGCTTTTTCCGTGTACTTATTGGATCACGGAGGAAACGCAGCCAGCTTTCGGAAGCAAAGATTAAGAGGAAGGCGGAGGATCGGGTCCGCGGACAGAGATGGCCAGGCTCTTTAGAATTCAGAAAACGCCTCGGTTCGTTAGCCAACGAACGGTCTCCTTACGAGTGTGTATGTGTGTGTGTGTATATATGTATGGGCACACATGCATATATACCGTGACGCGCATACACGCGCGCGAACGTACACGATCGACAACGAAAGGTGGACACGCGAAACGCGATTGTCTGAGTCCGTCATCCCGGGGTCTCGAAAGCTCCTTTCCCACCCCGCGCGCGTTTCTCCATTGCTGTACCGTTAAGAGGGAGTATTTGCCACCCCCGCGGGAATAGGTAGAAGCTACTTGGGCGGGAGGGGAGGGGCTGTCTGAGAACGTTTGAGGGGCTTCAAGCGCTTGCCGATACGCGACGGTGCGGTGGTGATACGCAGCCAGGATTCGGGATGAGCTTTGCCGGTCGCGGGATGTGCGCGTGCACCCGCGTGCGTGCACGTACACACGCACACGGGACGACGATATATATACGGGTTGCCACACGTTCGCGTTACCGCACGGCGGAATCGTGCGCGAGCCGGCATGAATAACCCATGAGGATGGAAATTAAAGACGATAAATGCAGCTGAAATGAGGTAGCGGCGAGGAAAGAGACTTGGGCTTTATGGGATTTTAATTCAAGGCCCGCGCGGGACAGCGGTGATACTCGGCGGGAGGCGTCGCGGCGCCGGCCGCGTTTTCTCAAAAGGTGGCGTCGAAATTTCGTATAATTACATCGGGAAGTTTTGACGGAAGTCGCTGATTAGTAATGTCAACGCTCAACTTGGCGCCGCCCACCCGTCGATATGCATTAATATTTGATCAACCCGATATGTCTCGTACTTGATTACAGAAATGTCACGGCAAGCCCTCGATTCCACCGAATCCGAAATAGATTTAATCGATGTCAGAATTTGAAAGTCTCTATTGCCAAGATCGATAACCGAACTAGTGAAACATTTGTTAAATATTCTACCGCTGTGGCGAGAGTTAAATGCATCGCTCCATTTGAGTAGTTATAGTTTATGAAAACAGCAAGGAAATATAGAACCGTAAAATAGAACTGTAAAAGGGACTGTAAATAGAGCTGTGAAATAGAACGACGAAAATTTAAAAAAAATCTGTGTAGATGAGAGATACGAGGAGACATGTTAGACATGAGCAAGTTTCCTTGGCCTAGAATTAAAAATAAGGTTGATCCAAATGCGCATACAATTTCGTCGAAAGCAAACAAAAGCATTTACGATGTCCCGACGTGTATACTTAACTCCGTCGTGCAATTCGGTCCAATTAAGAACCCCAGCCGAACGTTTCGGAATTCTTTCCACAACGGTCGTTAGCGCTTTATTAACTCACCTCGTTATTATTTTGCCTCTAATGTTAAGATTACGTAATGAAAGTAGGAGGGTTAATCACGACGAGCAAACACTATATCGACGTAATACAATCTACATACATTAAGACCGATAATAATAACTGGAAATTACACATGGGAAAGATACAGCGAAGGTATTCCCAAGAATAAACTCTCGAGAGACGTTTCGTAATCTCGAGCACGGTTTCATCGGGATTGTGAATTTTGCCGGTAAAGATTTATACGTATATCATCGTGCACGGCGAACATTCGTTTAATCAGCTCGCCCCGGTTCTAAGTAATTGCCGAAACATGTAACGCTCGTCTCTGTGTGCCGTTCGGATCGCGGGTATGAAATCGCTACTTTGAAATAATAACAACGTTATTATTTCATTTAGAATCTCAAGAGGCGCTTTAAAAGAAAAATGAATAAAAACTCACCGGTGGTGTACATCGCTACTCCTTTGAGCGTGACCGGTTCCAGAACAACGGGATCGCTCCGGCCCTTCGCGTTGACGGCATAAAGATGAAGCCTGTAATTCCGTCCCGGCTCTAAGCCGGAGACCTCGAAAACTGGACCGGATGAGCCGGATCTATCGGTGTGGTTCAGGTAGATGGTATTGACATGATAAACGCTCTCCTCGCTGTAGACCTCTAGCTCGTAATTAGTCAAGGGCAAACCACCGTCAAATCCCTCGGAGCACCTGACGATCAGCGAGTCCGAATCCCTCGAGTCGGTGGCTTTAAAGTCTTCGTGACCTGTTTCACACGGACGCACACATATCGAGGCGGTTAAGCTCCTTCCCGGAGGAAGAAAAACATTCGGACTCGCTAGACCTAATTGCTTCCCGGCGCGAGCGTCGTCGTGGCAAAGCACACTCGATAGCGTCGATTAGGGAGAGAGGGGGGGCCAGACCGAATTAATTGGATAATAGTTTTAGCTAGACTTGCATAATAAGTATATACCATATACCGGCGGACTGTAATTAGCAGTGCTGATCGAAAATTACTATTCTAAATAACTATAAATCCTCAGGCACGGTCATAAATCAGAACGAATGTGAAAGCCGACATTTAAAATGAGTTATGTTCGAGCGCTGCATTGTTTGCCAAAAAAAGCGAATCTTATTGTTAGTTTAATTAAAATCGGAGTGAATAAAATACCTTGCAGCTTTTCATTCATCTTATTACCCACAGAAATTATAGAGAAAATAATAAACGTTCTGTAAAAAATGTAAATAACGATTTTACCACAAAGCCTCGCGTCAATTATCTAATCGAATTATAGAAGAAAAGACAAGGGTCCCATTCGAGAGCATTGATGATCGATAAAAACTAATTTCACGGGCGTTTTCACGGTTATCGTGTTTTTCGAGGGGAAACAAGGAAACAAGCTGTTGAACGCAACAAGGGCATTGACCATAAGGCGTCAGCCACGATGATGGCCGGTGTAATGGTGCAGTTAGCAGGTCGTTGCGTGGGTTCCCGGGGTACCCTCCCGGGCTAACGCTTACCCATTCGGTACGCGTAGGGTCCGGTGGTCGACTGGAGGGCCGTACAGTTCTGCAAGGGATAGGGCTTCCCGGCGACGATGATCTGAAAGAGACAGGGCGTCCTCTGCGCCCCTATCCGATTTCTCGCCCAGCAGGCGACCGTGCCGTAGTCCATGTCGTTCTCCGGTGTGTAATTCAGTCTGGAGCCGTGCCAGTGACTCGTGATCAGGCTGAGCGGTTTGACCTGCGCGTACCTCGTGGCCGGCACGCTCATCAACTCCCCGGAGTTGTTGAACGTCCAGTGGAAGGTCGTGGGCGGCGGTTTCGACTGTACGCCGCAGACCAGCGAGATCGTTTCGTGCTTCAGGGCGCCGACCACTTGGGTGGAAGAGCCGTCCTTGCAAATCGGTGCGTCTGAAAATACGAGGGCGCCGGCTGGTAGATTCAATTTACCGCGGTGCACGCTCTCGCGCTCGTGAGCGTCACGGGCGGGGAAAAATAAGGGCCGGGCCGTTAGCCCGTCGCGTCGGCGGTTTTCGATTTCCATTCCTTACAGGCGAACGCCGATAATTGACGCTTCTATGTAAACGCGATTTACCAGCGCCCCGACTCAATATCGACGATGTTGCGATAAGAAAGTGAATGTATTAATAAAATTAGAATAACGACGTTATTCTAATCGTTATACCAGATGGGCTCGAGATGATGAATTAAAAACACTTCTGCCGAATTCCCCGATATCAGTCACGCGGATCGATTCGGATATAGAAAGGGATGTACTCACACATCACTTCGAGGGTTACCGGTCGACTCATGGATTTCCCTTCGACATTGACTGCCATGCAGGAATATTCCCCGGCGGAGCTTTTCGTCACGCTCTGTAATACCAGGGATTGTCCACCAGGAAGAATAATCCCCGCGGTAGCGTTCTGATGCAATTCCTTGCCGTCTTTGAACCAAAGTAGCTTGTAAGACTTTGGATTGGCTTGCACGTCGCACTCAAAGTAGACGTCGTCGCCCTCGTTTATGTCGTTCGCCCTCAAGCTGGAACCCAACTTAATGCTCACCCGCGGTGCGTCTGAAAGCATCGGTAGCGAGAAATGTCTCCTATTTATTATAATTTTGTACGCGATCGACAATTAGAAAATGTGTCGTTGAAAAGAGAATGTTAACAAGAAAAACGAGAAACGTATCAAGATTTAAAATAATTTCAAGTCGAATATCGGATACTAATAAAAGTTTCTATGAGTAATTTAAAGTAACTTAGACCATGAGGGGGAAGGGATGTATAATAACTTACAATACACCAACAAACGCCATTTGTCCTCCAAGCCACTGTTAGGCACTATGGAATTTTCCACCCTGCACGTCAAAAATTTTCCATCGTCCTCGATGGTCGGCACGTAGCTCAGCACACTTTTCGTGATGTTCGGATTGTCTGAGAACTACGAAGAACTCAGAATCCATGCCATTGCAACGTAAAAAACGACGAAGTCTTATACATCGTAAAACGATAATTCCGTCCGTTCGAGGAAGATATACTCACAGTTCTAGCCATGTGCCTAACATGATGAGTCCCTTTGTACCAGCTGAATATCACTCCCGGTTTAGCACCCGAGGTTTCACACTCGATATCGTAAGTTTTATATGCCGACAAATGAAATAGCTTATTCGTAATGTTGACCACGAGCGGCTTCACTGCGATGAACAATTATGCACAAAATGAGTTTTGGTATAAAATATCCATGATACTTCAATTTTCTACCTCACGTTATGCATCATCAATTTATTAATTTTACTAATAAACCTCGGATGAAATTATAGTGCAATGAGAAATAAATTAATTGAAATTAAATTACATACCTAATTACACAAAATTTTTCAATTCCTTTTTCATCGAATTTCAACATAATAAACAAAAACGATGGGGAAAAGATGAAGTAAGAAATTATTACATAAAAATTACTTCACTATCCATAATTTATTTCTAAGAATTTCTAAAGTTTCCAATTAATATGAATATCGAATATCTCAATTACACTCACGGTTCATATCTATAATGACCTCAGAGGTCAGGGGCGTCATAAGTTGAGTATTGGTCGCCTTGCAAATTAGCCTCGACCTCAGAAACTCCCTGGTGACACTCGGGATATCCAACCGATTTGTCGTTACGTCGTGCATATGCGTATACGTGTCGTCCAGGACTTTGTCGTTGAGGTACCACGTGACCCTCGGTGGGGGTGTACCTCCGATCACCTCGCACAACAGGAACTTCTCGCTTCCCTCGTTAAACGTTTCCAGTATTTGAGCCGGAGTCCTTTTAGTGTCGGTATATATCACCGGCTTTTTCGGCGGCACTGTCAGCAAATTGAATTCCGATCACAGGAATTTATTTCCGTGACATCGGCATGCGCCGCGTGTCCGTTATATCGAATTATAATGCGCGATTTCCTTTGTTATCGTTTCCTAATAAGATCGATTTCATTCGTCATAAATCTATAATATATCCGACACCTGGTCTCCGTACGATGCAATAATAATTTGAATTGTGTTTTAATGGCTCTCGATAGACGGAAATTGAATCGAATACGTTAAAATATATGTGTCCGCGTGGCCAGGCAACGCTATCGAATTTCCGTATCGCGAAATGGTCTGCAGCGGATAGCGGCCGCGAAATGAGAATTAAGACATAACGGCCCAGGTCTTTGATTCTTTTTTTTTTTCCTGCACGTCGGCGACCTCGGATGAGGCTAGCACCTGTTGAATCGGTACTATGACGTTGAATTAATTGATTCAGAATTGCTGAAACTGCAGCGACCTTATAACTAAACGCATCAAACCGCAATGATCCGGCTGTTTGTTTCTACATCTCGCTGGAATTGATCCAACCGACTTCGCGTAACTTCATTTCGTCTCATGGCTCTATTTCCACATGACTGTTCGCTGCGCGCGGAAGGTTGAGGTTGAACGAATCAAACTATCTTTTCGATTTACTATACTGTTTTTCGCGGTTACGCACCGCCCGCGTAAATATCATCCACGGATATAATATAAAACGAATAAATCACGAATGAATGGAGAGAGCTGCTCATACGCGCCGCCTGATTAAAATCCCATAAAACACAATCTGTCCGCCAACGTCGCTTGATAAGCCACAAAATTTGCACCATAAAATGCCACAGTCCGTCGTAATAACAGATAATTGGAATAATAATGGAAAATTAATCCCAAGAGAGCCTTCGCGATCAATCGAGATTACATATTTCTAGATTATTTGTAATTTATTTTGTTTTTTTTTCTTCATTTTTAATTATGCCTCATTGATTTGCATAAATTATGTTTTATATCGAAAATTTTTTAGATGAATGGCAGATGTAAATACTATCTCATACCTAATATATTCGTGCATATAATTCTTTCTATTTACAATCAATGTGTCGGTTAACTAGAGTCATTAGTCTCAATTTTTGCATTTCTCTATAATTTAATGTTTAATAAATTACATTTTTATAATTTTATAATCTCAAATAATTTATATAAAATTACATATCTATATTTAAAGAATTTTCTATTTGCATAAAGGTGTCACTTAGTAAATTTTATTCAGTCTTTAATCTTAATTTATTTCTATATCTATCACAAATGAAAAGATTTTAATGATTTTTATAAATAACGTATCGCGTTTCTTCTCAATTGCTCCATAAATATCGCGAATCAACTTAAGATTCAATAAAATCTAAAATTGCTCAGTAAATTTTGATGAAGATATCGAATTGTGATAATAATCACATTTGACAGAAGTGCTTTTAAAGTAATAGCTGTAATAGCAATTGTCACTTATGGAATTATATATACGCTGAAATAGAAATACCAAGTTTTCGTTGAAACTCACCTATGACCGTAAGATTAATCTTCTGATTCTTCGTGGGACTATTTTTAAAATCCACTCTACATCTGTATATACCACCGTCCGTGGACTCCAAAGGATCTATCTCCAGCTCGGCGGGCTTTACGTCCGTCTTCATAACCGCCCTTTCACCGAACACATACGGATCTGACCAAAGCCTTGCCTGAACTAGCTTCCTTCCCCGAACGTCCATGCGATATATTGGTTCACTGTCCTTTTCATCTTTGTACCAAAATACCATGATGACCATCTCGTCTTTAATCGGCGGATCGATGTCGCAAGGTATCCGAGCTTTGAAACCGGCCACAGCGCTAACGTCTGATATAGGCACTGAAAAGTACAGGAAAGCGACAAATTATCCTTACGGAAAGGATATGTATATATATATGTGTATAATTATAATAAATATAATTTTTGAAAGATATATATATTATTTTAGATTTTGATATATATATCTTAAGATCCAATCTCATATATTTTAATGATAAATTTTCCGCAAGTTTTTTGTAACTCTGCATAATAATATGATTAATTAATATTCTCTTAGCATAAAACTAATCTTATTATGTTAATCTGCAACCAATTCTTTTCGATTTCGCATTAAACAATCAAATATCACCTCTAAATGAGTTCAGACGCGTTATTACGTACATTCTCACCATAGTTACGCGATTGCAACGCATTGCCGACCCACCGTACGCACGACATGGCAATTCTCCAGCGAGAAACATGCGCATTCTCGGACAAGTGCCTCGTTGCGTTTCTGCGGCTGCGTTAACGGGTCCCGTATCAGGTAACAATGCGGCCCGATATCGTATACGTTTTCTCACTGTGAGAAGCACAAATTTTGGAGTTTTAGCCAGTCACCGTCGGCGCCGATCGAATTACTGCAAATTGGTCGAACGTTTCCGAACCAAGCGAACTCGGGGCGCACCCGTACCCATGCAGACTACCCAGAGAGAGAGAGAGAGAGAGAGAGAGAGAGCGTGTACGCGCGCGTGTGGTCGTGCATAGAAACAAAACGCGGAGAGCGCGCGTTTACTGAATGGAGGCTGCACGATCGGGTGAACCCAATTAATCGGTCTACTTGCCGATTTATAACGGCGCGCCAACCGTCGGGGGCGCGATTTTATTGGCTTTCATAGCCGTTTCATCCATCGTCCTGGCGTCTAACGCCCGACCAACCGACCACAGTGGTCTCATTATCTTTTCCCTCGTTGACCTTAGGTGTAACGGGTACCGAGAGAGAGTTACCTTCGAAACGGGCATCCGCTACCGCCGCCGTCGCCGTCGGAGATTAATTGAGCGCGAACACGGCTGACGTGTATCGGCTTTTTCCACTGCGAGACTCGGCACCGGGCGCGGCGCGAGAAGAAAAACGCAACTTGGGATAGCCGGCACATAATCTACAGGTTTTTGACGGTGTTAAATCTGATTTGATGACTGTGGAGAAGACGGTTTTAGAAAAGAATTCCGTTACACGGTTTTTCGATCTGATAACGATTGACAATTATTTATTATAACTCGATTATACATTAAACGCATCTAATTATCGTTGGAGGGATTTCTGACGTTCGACGATACGCGTTTCTTATCGCTGAAGTTATTTTGATTTTTTTCCTTAATAAAATCCTTAAATATGATACATAATAATATAAGATCCTTGCATTATTGTAAGACCCTTATAAATATATAAAATCCTTAAATATGATTCCTATTTTAATATCAATAGAGAGCTCAACCGACATGATACTCTCGCGTAACGACGACCCGGATCTCGCGCGCATTCAAATTCCGCGTTGACGTGAGCTCTGAGATTCATCACAGACGATGGCGGTGTTAATGATACGATGTAATTAATGCCAGGTGATGAATGGCCGTACGCACGAAGTAACTCGTTAACAAACGGCAACGAGCACGTGGGCTCCGCTCTCGCACCTTTGCGCCCCATTGATACGTGCCTCTGAATATTCACACGTTGACGCGTTTGCATATCCGTGCATATCACCGAAGTTATGCTCCGGAATGAAAATTGCACGAGATAGCGATTACTTTATCGGGAATAGAATGCGTCACGTAAACATTTACGAAGAGCAAACCAAGGTACGTAACATCGCGCGAAATGTTGTAATCTTCCTGCGAGCACATAAACACGGCGCGACTGTGCCGAGCGGATTTTGTAAAAATTATTAAAAGTGATGTGTGACATAAGTTCTCTTTCTTTCAATACTTGGAAGACCCAATACTTCGAATCCGTGCCGTTAACAGTTAATCATCAGTGAATCCTTAATCGTTAACAGTGAACCAACAGTGAATCATTACAAGCATGATCGGTTGCGAACGTGCCGATTAAATGTTACGAAAGGCGGAAGGGGATCGTTAATGCCGCAATTAAAATGTTAATAGCGCCGGGGCGAGTCCTATTACCTCGTTAAATCCTCTCGTGAACCTAGCAAATTGATGACTTAGACAATGAACCATCGACAGACTCCGGCGCACGCAGACGCTTACGTATTCCGTATGCGTGCACGCGTGCGTCGCACGTACGTGCGTCCGTCCACGGCGCGTGGTACGCGCCGCGTATATGTGGTTGTGCTTTCGCACGCGCCGCGTGTATCGCGTTTACTTGAGAGCGTGGCGGAATATATCCGTTTCTCGGGTAACGCGGGACGCATACGTATATCCGCCGACACGACGATCCCGGAGTAATTATTCAAAGCAAACACGAACGCCGTCGTGGATTGGTAATACATCGCATTACCAGCGCCCGTGTATACATCGGGATACCGCGTTATACGGATTTAAACGCGCTATACGATGCGAAGAGCAGATGCGAAGTAGCGCATTGATTCGTGGCATATTGATTGGTATATACATGGATCGAGTTTATTGACGCCGCTCCGTTAACAGGAATATAAATTTAGCGGACCAGACTCGCTTTGATCGTTGGCATCCCGATGCGCGTACATTATTGCGCTCCCTCGGCGCAATTTTAAAAAAATTTAGAGCTCGGACTTTAACGTATAATTTATTATTGTACATTTATATTGACGCAATAATTGAAGCGCGACGAGTTGTGATTTCAGCGGCAATGATATTGGGCGCGTTCAGTAGAACCGCTCAGTAGCAATCGAACGTGATTGGCTCTTACTTTTAGACCCAACAAATCAACGTAGCGTATGTTGATAAGACGACACTCAACAGTTGTGTCTGCTGAACGCGGCAATTTTATTTTCATAAAATATACACCATTTTTCTTTGTTTTTCTTCATGAGCCCGAATGCATCATGATATCGATATTTTCGCCGACTATTTTCTAATACGCAAAAATTCAATTTCCGCCGCAGCCATTCGCGAAAGTGCGAGCCTTGTAATTTGATCAAAGTACCGCTGTAAACATCGCGGATGCGCAAACGTGGATGCGACTTGTTTTCTGTAGATTCAGGCATCGCTGGCGAACCGACGAGTTCCAGCCAAACATACGGAAAGGTAGAAACCAACACATCCGGAAAGCAATAAAAAGAAGATATAGGTGGATAGCGATTGAAGGACGAACTGGCGCGCGAGTCGCGCGCGCGGAAATTGTATTTCACATATTTTCATATACCAATATATATATATCACGCTGAATATAGGGAAAGGGAATGGAATTTTCGAGTGCACGTACTTCTTAAACGATATTCACCGCGCCGTTAAAAGTCGAACGTGCATTTTAACACTTTGGCTGCCAAGCTGATTTCGGCATTGAGCTCCGGGAGACTCCAAGTCGAGAAAATATGCGGCTGTTTGCAAAATATGCAGAGTTGGAATGCAAAATAAATCATGCCGAGAGAATAAATAAATAATAAATGTAAAAAAAATACGTACGTATATTTAGTAATATAATTTCAGATGGAATAAATAAAACTGTCATTCACAAACCGGAAATAATAAATCTTTTTGAAATGGAAACAAATATAAGCAGAAAAACATAAAAATCAATCATTCTGCTTTTATTAAATCTAGCATATTAGCTTGATACTTTATTGTTTTTTAATGTCTTAATCAATACTTATTATTTAATAAAATCATTCTTAACCGGGCAAATAAAACTGTCACTCACGAATGGATGACTGAGTTTCTTGCGGAAATTCATGTGTCACCTAGATATGCGTGACATAGCAGTCAAAGTGTTAAATGTGATAAGGAACGAGAATTATCAAGGTAAAACTATTAATCTTCAGACTAACAATCGCGCCATTGCGCCGCGTATTCTCTCGAATCCATAAAGAACGAATGGCCGGTATTTTCGCGCACGAGCAACGCGCCGTTGTGCAAATACGAGGTGCAACTTTCTTGCCAAGGTAAAGAATGTACTGGGAAAACTTTGACAAAATGCTCTTTACGTACTTTCCCAGTCGCCGCGAAAGGGGGAAAAGATGGAAACAGGACATTGAACGAATATTCCATTTCTCAATAGGGAATCGTCGGTTACCTCCCTTTATCCCGAGCACGCCAACTTGACCCAGTTTGCTGATAAAATGCGTATAAATGCATTATGCGTTATGCAAGCACGATAGATAGACTTTGATACGTAGAAAAACGTGACTGGTCTTAACTTATTTACAGACATTTAGAATTTTAATTCTGTGCGATTACATACATCAATCATAAAAAACAATTCATCAATTTGATGTAATCTATTTTTCTAAAGGAACAAATAATTATCTCTTGAAAGTTTGGTGTCTTGAGTTCTAAGAGAACCGTGATTCTCGCTTCCTGAGGATATAGGTAATTTCTATTGTGCAAAATTTTTCCACTCCCAAGTTCATCAGGGAAGCGCGGGTGTCTGTAACGACGGAGGCCGCTAATGAACAATGATCAAACTCATTAAGAAGCCATAAATTTTGCTTGTCCATGGCGATTATTATCACCGGCCTGTTTAACTTCGTAACGTCGGTAACTCGTCCGGAGCCGCGCGTGTAAACACCGAGCGGTGTGCAAACGTGGTGCCGGCTCCTTTACCGCCGCATCCGGGGAAAACGACGTCACAGCGCGCACCCCTCCTCCCCCTGTGCCGAAACCGCCGACTGAACAAACACGCGCCGGGGTATGACGAAGAAGGCAAACCGAGGAACCGGAGGGTTGAGGGTGGTACACACGGGCGGATGTACACAAGCGCACGCAGGGAGAACACACCGGGAGTGTGTGGGTGAGTCCTCGCCACCGCGCACCGGTGCCGGAGGTATACGCGGTGGGAGAGAGAATTAGACGGAAGTAGATGAAGCGATAGAAAGGCCGCGAAAGTAGGACGAATATAGGCAATGTCGGCGCGGCGCGGGCCAATTCGT